CTAGAAAATTATTTCCTTTCTAAATGTGCAGTTTCATCCAACAGCCCCTGTATTCCAGCTCCAAAAAAATGAGCTAAAGTGAGTTATAAAACTACCTCTGACTCCCTCCAGTTAAGAGGCGTAGCAATCAGCCTGATCACACTCACCCGCTTTCATAAGTCTTATTAAGGTTGGTGACTGTACGTCATCCTCCATAGGACTGTAAACTTTATCTCCTCAAAAGGCTGTTAGATTTCACAGGACAGTCCTTATTCACTCACCAGAACATTTAAATAAAAAAACAAAAAAGGGGGGGTCTCAGCTGCTTCCAAATTGCAATATGCCCATTTCTTCCAGGATTATTGTTTTGACATTTCCTTCCATTTCAAATGTGCATCCTCAATACATCACATAGTCATATCAATATAAAAATAAACTTCCACTTCTTATCAGAAAAACATTAATTCACAGTTAGCCTTTTTCCACCACACTCAGCCCTCCAGTAGCTCCTGGGAACAGAGGTATATTAGTAATACAAATGGAATATTAAAAATCCATCCATGACTTAGGAGTAAAAAGGAGCCCTGAGCTCCTCTTCCCCTACACCTGAATCATGAAAGGGCTTTCCTGAAATGAGAGGGGTGGGCTGGCCTGCTGAGGCGACCCCAGCCATGCAGGAGCCTCACCACAGGGCACCACATACAGGTACCGCAGGAGTGCAGAGGAGAGACCGAGGACTGGTCCTTTCAGAGTCCAAGCCCAGAGCCAGGAGCCTAGTAGGGAGATGAAAGTCCATTTGACACACACTGGTCCCCATATTACTAACTTTCCTGCCTGGTTGAGAACTGTCATCACACCAAGGCAAGTTCACTGTCAAGCTGAACACTGTCTTATTCAGCAGCACCCCCTGCTTCCCTGGGATGGGAGAAAGCACCTCAGTTCATTCCCTGGGTTCTGTGGTTTATTTTCCTTTGATTTAGCAGTCCAGAGTCAGGGCTGACTCTTTGCGACCCCATGGACTGTAGCTTACCAGGCTCCTCTGTCCATGGGATTTTCTAGGCAACAATACTGGAGTGGGTTGCCATTTCCTTCTCCAGGGTTTCTTCCCGACCCAGGGATTAAACCCATGTCTCTTGCATTAGCAGGAGATGCAAGTGGATTCTTTGCCACTTGCACCACCTGGGTAGTTTCATTTCAAAACAAAAACAAGTTCCTGAGATCCCCTTCTTCCTGGAGGGTTGTTGTACTGCCTTTAAAAGGTTAACGAAAACTTCACATCACTGCCCTTTGCAAAAGCTTCCCCAAAGGCCTTGGTTTAAAGGTGAGTAAGCTCATCTTTTTTACTGTTTGAAGGGTTTTCAGTGTATTAAGACAAATAGCAAGTTTGCCCTCATAACCACCAGAATGAAAAAGTGGTTCAGCTATGGTTTCATTTATCTTTACCTTTATCTTCTAGCTAAAACATGTAGTTACACTGATCAATGACTCTTCACATGTGGTATTGAGAATTATCTGCACCCTGTGCTATACGTAAATTTCCCATCTTTTTCACGTGGGACAAACAAATTACAAATGCAAATTCCTAGGCTAAATGATTTCTATCAATGTATCAATGAATTCAGCTTCCCTTCTCCAGCCAAATGGAAGACACAATGCCATGATGAATGACGGAGGCAGCCTTCTAATCCACAACAATCATAACTTACTGAGGACTGTATGGGCACTTACCTTAGAAGGAACCTATGCCAGGCCTAAGGGGTGGGTGCTTCATGCTTAGCAAAAGCCAAAGCCAATTTTGAACTGTTATTTGCCCCATACTTTCTGGTCTGGGGAAAGATAAGTCCTACCATTTCTGACTCCTTTAGAAGAGTCCTAACCCAGAGGACAACTGGACATTGTCCCAAAGGCTGAAGCGTACCATCTGCCAAGTCTGCACAAGTGAAAAAAATCCATTTTGTCAGAACTTTGTCATATCCGACTAGACATCAGCAAACTCCAAGCCTGGATTCTAGGCCCACAAGGACTCTGACCACCTAGAATTTCTTTTAACTTCATCCAAGGATGACCCGGTGGCCCCCACTTCTCAAGTTAGCAATGTTTCCAGCTTAGGGCGTGGCTCACAGCTTGGTTCAGCGGGTAAAAAATCACCTGCCAGTGCAGGAGACTCAAGAGACAGGGGTTCAATCCCTGGGTCAGGAAGATCCCCTGGAGGAAGGATGGCAACCCACCCCAGTATTCTTGCCTGAAAAATACCATGGACACAGGAGCCTAGCCGGCTACATGCCACAGGGTCACAAAGAGTTGGACATGACTGAACAACTGAACACACACACGCACAGCTTGGCGTCAGATCAGGCTTAAAGTGCCCCAGAAGGACCAAGCCAGCTGGCACAGGGGTGGGAGGAGGAGGTCTGAGAGTTGAGAGGGACAGAAGGTCACCATCAATCAATGAACCCACACCTGAGGTTCCCAGCCAGCTCCCGAAGGTCACAGTAGTAGTATAATAAGCCCTGTTTCTACAGAGGACAGAGAAGGACATTCTCCAGTGACTTCCAAACAAAAGCAGATGGTTTCTCTGAAAGTATTTCCATAGTGACACAAAAGCAGGTCTGGGTGGCTCCTAGCTTCTGTTGTCCTAGTGCAGGGAGCCCTGCCTGGTACCTCGCCAACAAATTCCCCTTGCAGAGACCTGGCAGCTAGTGCTGCTGGCCTGCTGCTCACCGGAGAGATTGGGGAAGAAGGTGGAGGTGGGGGTGGGGGGGGCGGGGGAGGGAGCCTCCAAAAGGTGAACTCCTAGAGGCTCCATCCACGTCTCAGGGGTGTCAGGGGATGTCAGTGACGAGGGTAACACAGGGTAACAGCGTGCTATGCAGCCCAGCAGAGGGCGCTGCGCGAGAGTCCTGGCCTCACCAGGAAGCTGGCGATGCAGGGAAGGACCAGCGCTAGGGTATCATCCTCTTCGAAGGACTCTGTTGGGGAGGCGGGGGGTCGGGGGAGCAGAGGGGTTCTGCTCTGGGGTCAGCCGAATACAGGCTGCTTTCGACTTCAGATGTGGCACCGCCGCATGGGTGCACCGTCTCCCAGGGCCACTCGCAGCCCAGGGGATGCCGGATGGACGGCTGCCTAGAAGTGCATGGAGGTGCAAGAAGGGGTGAGGAACCCTGGGCCCGCCATTCAAAGAGAAATACAGGAACCTCATTTTCATCTGGTTACCTGTAGATCAGCACGTCTAAGCCTGGAGTTACAATCGCACAGAAATAAAAGCATTCGCATGCACAAGCCCTCTAGAACAGAAGGGCTTACAAAAGAGTATTTGCCCAACAAATTCCCTGATTCCACAGAATGAGGGCCTGCCTCTGTCCTCCAAGAGAACCTGACCTTTCCTTTTACCCCACCCCTACTTCTGACTGCCCATCCCAACTTAGAAAGCCTTGAACCTTCCAATAATACTAAGAGTAACCATTACTTGACCCAAGTTACAAAGGCTGCTCCTTCTCCAGGAATAAGAGGAGATGGCCACTCTTCAAGGAAAAAGGCAGTGAAGCTTCAGCTTCTAAACGGATTCTTTTTTTCTTCTGTAAACAAATATATTACTGAAATGATGGCTAAACCCACAGAGAAGAAAAATGTACAGTTTACATTTCAATGCCCAAACTTATTTATATATTTACATAAAAGACACTACCCTTGATTAGTCAGTGTCTGCATTTCCACATGTGAACTTCTTTAATCTTGAATTCTGTATCAGGGAGCTGCAGTGAGAATGGTTTTGAATAAAGCAATAAGCCCTACAAAGCTAGTCTCGAGACAAGACACATGATCCATCCATTTGAAAGTTATTTCTCTCTGACACTAGCCTGGCTAGAACTTGGTCCCGGACACAGATACACAGACAGCTATTCCAATAATCCAGTCAGGTAGGAACAGTGAAGGGGAAGAAGTTATTTGTCACAAACAACCCAGGACCCCAAGTCAAAATCCTGAACTGGCCCAGGAGACCTCTACTCGACTCACAGGAGCAGGCTTCTCTAACAAACCATGGTTGTCTCACCGTGGCTGATTTGCACTGAACACCCCAGCCAAGGGAAACAAGCAGGGCCAACAGGAGCTATCCCAGGTCCAAGCACTCCAGAGCACAGCAGAGAAACTCATCTCACACACGGGGTTCCCAACCGCGCCCCTGGTGCAAGCACGCCACCTCTAACGAGTCTGGTGCTTCTCTGGTCCCAGTTGCCTAGCTCGAGGAATGTTGTCTCTGCTAAAAAGAAGTTTGTTTGTGAAGGCTTCTAACTGGTACACATTCTTGCTGACATCGGCCTGGAGGAATGTGCCAGCCTGTCCCAGGAGGGAATTCAGAGAAACAAAACTATGACGTGGAGCGGCCACCGTTAACTTAGGGAAAGGTTTCCAGGCTTCATTTTTACAATTTTAGTTTTCAGCTGACTTAGAAGCCACCACTCCCTGTCCTCTGTCTAGAGAAGCTTCATACCTGGTGACAAAAACATCCTTTGTCCCACTCTGAAGTCTCTATGTGAACAGAGAAAACACAGATTTACTCTAATAAACCAGAAAGGAAATTTGATCGCAAGATAAGACTCCCAGAACTGATAAAAACCTTGGAAGGCCATCTGGTCTAGCTTCTGCTTTGGGCAGATGGATATGTAAGGCCACGCTGGACAGACTGTGGTCTCATTCTTGATCCATCAAACGACAGAGACCAGACAGACTTTCCCAACAGTCCAGCCAGGCTGTCCAGAGCTCCTGGTGACAGGCGGCCTTCCCCCTTCACCTCAAGTCAATCACGAGATGAGAGAATCTGCTTTGATAACTCCCAAGACTGAACCCAGCAGCAGTAGGAAAGCGGTAGCTTCCAGCAACCTCCAAAATCAAGGCGCTCTGATCTTACCTCTTGGGAAGAAGGGAAGAAAGAAGATGCAAAAACTACATTTGTTGGAAGTATAAATACTCCTGTGTGTCAATCAGAAATCAGGCCATCCCCACGTGATAGCGGCTCATCCTTCCTATGGGCAACAGGGGTTGTCAATGACCAACATGACATCGATGCCGTAGGCCTCCAGCAAGTCCATAAGAAAGCTCCGGTCTCCTTGGGGGTCTAAACCCATGCCCCGGGCGTGCTCGGCCGTCAGAGTTTTGTCTTGACTGGCGGACACCTCCAACAAAGTCTGAAATATCCGGTTGTTTTGCTCAAGGAAAAACCTACATTCACAAGACAAGACATGGAAAAGGGAGGGCAGAAAAGGCACAAAAATTTACCAAGTAAGCGACACAGGGGAACCAAAACTACACTGTTCTGCTTGCTATACGTTTAAATGGTTTCAAGAGTCAGAGAAGCCTTTTAAAAGAAGAAAACAGGATAAAAGTTAAAAGAGTTACTCAAGTGCCTCTAAGGTCAGCAGAGAACTGGTGTTAAGCCATTCTATGATTAGCAAAATCTCTGAGTGAGTGATGGCCTGACTGCCAGAAATCTACAGGAAGGTTACTAGAGGTTTAAGCAAAGCTGCAGACAGAGGCCCCATGAACTGTGTTCCTCTCTTTCTGCTTAGTCCTAAAGGGAAGAGAAAGATTAAAAAAAAAAACAAAACAAAGCAGAAAACCTGATAATGCAGTTCTGAGGTCAAGACTTAATGTGAGAAACTGAAATCTACCTTCAAAGCCCTGGATGGGTAATTAAAGCCAGTGACAGGAGGTGAGGCTTCCCAATGCAGAGAAGGACTCTGACTCAAAATGACTCTGTAGCCCTTGAGCTAACCACGCAAAAAAGATGGAGCTCGGAGGTACTGGGGCAGGCACTGGGGAGTCAGAAGCCAGCCCCGGGGGGCAGGCAGTGATGGAGAAGGGGGAGCCGGGCAGAGGGACCGCTATCTCCACAGCGCACCATCATCTGTGTATAACTGTGTGTTCCTTAGATGGCTTTTTCTTTTTGAAATTATGAAAGTATGATAAACATTTATAGGAGACCTAGAAAACACAGAACAAAGTTCCACTATGGTGGAACTTAAATATAGGTCCTATATGTAACTATATGTAAGTGGAACTTACATATAGTTCTACTATATATTACGACTATTTTTTTAAGCAGATAGATTAACATTTTTAGTTGGAGTTTCAGTATCAAACTCTCAAAAATGACTAGAATGAACAGACAGAAAAGTACAAGAATATAGTAGACCAGAAAAGCTAAGAACCAATTCAACATAATTAAAATTTACACAATTTTCACATGACAGTAGGATACAAATTCACTTCAAGTTCCCACAGACTATAAACCAGGAGACACTGGAACATATCCAGGGACATAAAACAAGGTGCAAAAATTTCATGGTCTAACGGTATTGAAATCGTATAGTCTGTTCTCTTACCACTGTGGAATTATGTTAGAAATCAATACTTTGATGGCTTTTTTTTTTAATTTGCACAGAGCATATCTGAGTGTCACTGACTTATAGTACTATATGAATATATGCGCCGTATTCAGATATAGTCTGATAACGTAACAGTCTAGACTTTTCATCTGTATTCCACAGAGCAAGGTGCTCAGTGCCCCAAGCAGCTTTGGGCAGTCAGGGATTTCAGATTCAATAGACAGAGATTCAAAAGCCTTGACGAGACTGCTGGCTCTCTGCTCAGCTTCCAGATACTTTTACATCTCAACAGCAGGTACACATTAGAAAGTACACTTGATCAGAATCAAAGTACTGCACCTTTGTTGCAACATCAAAAGACAGCACTAAGTTGTGTCCGACTCTTGCGATCCCATGAACTGTAGCCCGCCAGGCTTCTCTGTCCATGGGATTCTCCAGGCAAGAATACTGGAGTGGGTTGCCATTTCCTTCTCCAGGGGAACTTCCCGACTCAGGAATTGAACTCAGGTCTCCTACATTGCAGGCAGATGCTCAAAGCCAATATCAAAGGCAGAAACAGTTCTAACTACAAGAGCTATTCCCCATCCCAAGTAGGAAGACCAAGCAGGTGGCTGGCAGAATTGTTTCCGGTTCAATTACACTTCTGTTCTTATCACCTGGCACTATTTCACACAGCTACTTATGAATGAAATCAATGCCTTAAGGAGGCCATGGCTCAGACCCCAACCACCAGCTGCTCTGGTAGTGGAAGAAATGTCATGCGAGAGTTAAGTTTCTGATAATCCCATAATACTCCATATAAGGAAATGCTCTATTCAAAGGCAGCAATGGATGGCAAGGCCCTGCATCCTGAGAGACAGCCTGTATGCAGCGGACATCTGGGTGTACATGACCAATAGGAAGACGACTCCTGGGGCTCCCGTTTCCCTTGATAACCTTTCCCTGCTCCTGAACCCTTCTGGGTCCCCCGACAGCATTTCGGGGCTCAGGCTGACCGGGAACCCAGCTCTAAGGGCAATGAAGGGCATCCTTGTGCTGCAGCATGTAACACAGGAGGTGGTGACTGTTTAGTCACTAAGTCGTGTCTGACTCTTTGTGAGCCCGGGGACTGGAGCCTGCCGGGCTCCTCTGTCCACGGGATTTCCCAGGCAAGGATACTGGATTCCTCACCGCTGAGCCAGCGGCAAAGCCCGACACAGGAGGGATCCAGGCTAAAGCCGTCAAGTGCTAAGGGAGCCTCAGGGAGGCCCATGACCGCCACTAGGCTGACTTACAGCACAAAGAGGTCCTCTTCGCAAGGGTTATAATCTTCTTCCACCTCCTGGGAGTATAACAGCATCTGCCTGTTGGGAAGGAGATGACCGTCAGCTTCTGGCACAGCTACAAGGAGCCCAGGCCCCGGGCTAGGTCACTGGGTGGGCATCTGCATGGGCCACTACCTCCCAGGAAGGAGGCTGAAAACCCAGGGCAACACCCCCATCCCTGCCCCGGCCAAAGGCAGGGAGAGAAGGGGAAGCACAGGGCTTGGAGCCCAGGGCTGGGCCTGGCCCTGGGTAACGAGGACGAGGGACAGCCTTTCCTGACTGTCACACAACTGGGGGGAGGCCATGAAGCCATTTACGTCACCACTGATACCAAGGTGCTACCTCGGGCTTCACAGATTCTAGAGGCCACCGGAAAGGAGTCAGCCCAGGCATGCCTGCTACCCATCAGTATAGCTGGGGAGCTTCGTCAACCCCCGACCCCTGGGCAGATGGGCAAAAGTGTGCCCAGAGGGAAGGGGCGGCAGGCAGGGGGGCTGGACCGGAGCCCCTCGGGTGTGGGGATGGGCAGCTCCCCTTCGCCCTCCCCCAGCCCCACCTCTGCTCGTTGAGCCGCCGGTACTTCTCCCGGTCGGCGCTGTTGATCTTCAGCAGGGGCTGCAGGTGGTCGTGGTGCGTCTTCACGTTCTGGTTGTCCACGTAGACGTCGTAGAGCTCCCGCTTCTCCTCGAAAATCTTCTCCGTGGTGCCTGCGGGAGCCGGGGTTCAGGAGGCGGGGACCCTCCGCAGGGCGGCCCTACAGGGGAACCAGGGCCCTCGGAGGGTTGCCGGGGAAGCACAGGCAGGATAGGGCGGGCCCCGTACTCACAGGCCACATAAGACACCTCTACCTCCAGGGTCTCGATGTCGGCCACGTTCACGTAGAAGAAAGGCTTGGACTCAGGCACGGTGCCCCCGATGCCAGGCAGGGAGACATTGGCCAGGCAGCAGCAGCAGTACACTGGCGGGACAGCGGAGGTGAGGGCGCCCGGGGTCCCCCCCTCCCAGTCTGCCCCCCGCCTTCTGAGCTGCCAGCATCATCAGAGTGCTCCGTTCAAACATGGGTCAGTCTTCCTCTTGGGACATCTTGCTTAGGACGTGGTACTGGTGACCTTCCCCTTCTCAGAACCCTTGCCCACAGCAACCGTGCCTCTCCTGGTGCCCTCCCTTCTCCTGACTGCGCCCCTCGGCCTCCTGTCTTCCTCCTCCTCTGGCTCACCTCCTGGGCCAGCATCTTCCACGCTGACACATCCCTTCTGATTCACACTCTCTCCAAGTAACAGCACAGACAGCCCAGCCTGTCCCCCAAGGTCCTAACCCAACTAGATTACTGCCTAGCGTCCACCTCGAGAAGGTCTCAGAGCTGCACACACATATAGTGTCCAAGTGGACTCTATCACACCGCTCCCTATCTGTTCCTCCTCAGTTCCCCAGCTGGTGGCCCTATCGTCCTTGGCATCCTAGAGTCTTCCGCCCTGACCTCTCACACACATCAGAACCTTACAACCCAATCTGACACCAGCCTCTGCCAGATTTCTCTCTTTATATCTGGAATCCATCCTCTCTGCTTTAAGCCAGGCCCTTGTCTCTTTCCAGACTGCTCATCTGCCACCCGATCCATCTTCCCTACTGCCAGAGTCCACATTCTACGCTATCAATCCAACCACAGCCCTCCAGGGCTTCAAATCAGTGAGCCCCTGATTCGGATCAATCCCTCTGACCTTGGTCAACAATGGAAAGAATGGGAGCAGTTTCTGTCGCAGGGACTTTGGGCAGTGTCCCTGACCTTGGCTTCTAGTTACCTCTATAGCATACAACGCCCACTGGAGGGGGAGAAAATATCAAAATGCGCTTTCGAAGTAAGGCAAATTTCCAAAGGATGAGGATCTGTTCGCCAAAGAACTTAATAAACTGAGACATGCAGCCAGCTGGGTGTGTGATCTGAAAAAATTAACAGAGGTGGGTGAGGGGGAGAGAGGAAAAGCTTGTTGTGAAAAATATTCAATACAAGTGTGTGCTAACCACCCCTCCCACCAAAAAACAAAAACAAAAACAAAACCCCAAGGTATAACTAAACAGATACACTAAGGGATGGTTACTTCTACATAAAACGGTATTTTTCACTTTGAAAGTCCTATCTTTAAACCAGAATTCTATCATTCAGCAGCTCTCCGGATGCACCGAAGTGAGAGTTTAGGATCATTAACTACTTCACCTGGGGAAGCGGTGCAGAGGAAGAGAAGCTGGATTGTAATATTTGAGTCTCGCCCAGGTGACGGACACCTTAGTGAGACGGTTCAGCTCCCAACGTGACTAAGCACAGGGAGGAAGGAAAGGATGAGTCACCTGTCCTAGGTGACACCCCAACGTATAGGGACCCAGCTCCTGTGCGAGGTGACATGTAGGAACGGATTACAGGTTACCCCGCTGGAAGAGGGACCCCCGGCACCTAACCCCACCCCCGGCACCTAACCCCACCCTCGGCACCTAACCCCACCCCCGGCACCTAACTCCACCCCTGGCACCTAACTCCACCCACCTGCACCTAACTCCACCCTCCACACCTAACCCCACCCCCTGCACCTAACTCCACCCTCGCACCTAACTCCACCACCCTGCACCTAACCCCACCCACCTATATCTAACCCCACCCTCGGCCCCTAACCCCACCCCCGGCACCTAACTCCACCCTCCACACCTAACCCCACCCCCTGTGCCTAACTCCACCCTCCACACCTAACCCCACCCCCTGCACTTAACTCTACCCTCTGCACCTAACCCCACCCCCTGTGCCTAACTCCACCCTCCACACCTAACCCCACCCCCTGCACCTAACTCCATCCCCTGCACCTAACCCCACCCCCTGCACTTAACTCCACCCTCTGCACCTAACCCCACCCTAGCACCTAACCCCACCCACCTGTGCCTAACCCCACCCTCTGCACCTAACTCCACCCTCTGCACCTAACTCCACCCTCCACACCTAACCCCACCCCCTGCACCTAACCCCACCCTCACATCTAACCCCACCCCCCTGTGCCTAACTCCACCCTCCACACCTAACCCCACCCCCTGCACTTAACTCCACCCTCTGCACCTAACCCCACCCCCTGTGCCTAACCCCACCCTTGCACCTAACCCCACCCCCGTGCCTAACCCCAACCTCTGCACCTAATTCCGCCCCGTGCACCTAACTCCACCCACCTATACCTAACCCCACCCCCTGCACATAACCCCACCCACCTACACCTAACCCCACCCCCTGCACCTAACCCTACTCCCTTGAACCTAACCGCACCCTCTGCACCTAACCCCACCCTCTGCAACTAACTCCACCCCCTGTACCTAACCCCACCCCCATACCTAACTCCATCCCCTTGTCCCAACTCCACCCCCAACTCCTCTCAGTGCTGGATGCCAGGACACCTGAACCCTGAGGGTTGCCTCCCAGGCGGGCAGAGGAGCCAAGACATTCCTGGAGCAACTGCATGAGCTCTGTCTGACCCAGGGGAAGTCGGAGACCAGGGTTCTGCTCTGCCCTTTACTGACAGGGAGACCTCAGGAAAGCCATCCCACGTTTCTGGTTCACTTTCTTTACCTGTAAAATGGGGCTATATCATCATATCCTTCATACAGCTAGAAGAACCACTTGAGAAAATTCGTGTGCAACACCTGGCACATGGGAAAGCCACATGACACAACTGTCACTGACAAAACACCAGGCTTCAAGCCAAGTGCTCTATGAATGTTTCGGAAGGTCACTTCCAGGACAAAGTGTGTAGTTTACAAGCCAGTGGAAGAAGCAGGCACACCGCACTTAAACACCAGCCTGATGAGAGCTGTGTCGAAAGAGGGGCAGGGGGCGGCAGGAGAGTGTACAAACGCCCTGAGGTATGAGAACAAGCTGCTTTCTGGGAACCACAAGTGCCTGGGGCGCTGGGCAGGGCCTCTGCCAGGGCAAACGGGCAGCAGCCCAGCGAGGGGGCGTTCTCTCTGCTGAGACATGGTGCCAGGCTGCACCCCGACTGCACGATACCACACACTTCTCCTTTGCTTTCACCTCAACGCGTTTCCCTTCTCTGGGCCTTGGAGCTTTTCCAGAGAACCTTCTCTTCTGGACTTGCACAGTTCCTACTGTTAGGTTTCCCTCCAGCTTTTCATGTCAGGCACCCCATCCTCTTCTTACTCCCTAACTGTCACTGGTAGGTCCCTCAGATTCACACTTCATCCCTCACCTTTCACCTTCATCCCCCTAGGAAATCCATCCACTCCTGGGACTCAGTCCCCCGACTTCTGTCTCTCTCTCACTCCCTTATTTCCCTGGGGGAGCATTTACTAGCTGTTGTTGGGCTGCTCAGAGAGGTCTCCATCATCCTGCCTTCCAGGTTTTTCCTTCCCTCTGCTTAGATCTGACCTCTACTTTATAAGTTTATTTTACAATTTTCTTTATATATCTGTTCACTTTGTAAAAAATTCATTGACCTATCATAAACTTACAGCTTTCAACCAGTTGCGACAAATGTTATATTTCAATAGAGAGGTTACATAACAATTTCTTCATATGTACACATGTGTGATATATTTGAACAGACTATCAAATATACCATGTTAATTAGTACTGCCATTTTTTCCCCTGGTCTTTTCCTCTTTTACATATATAAGCATTGTCCCTCCAAAGCCACCTCACCCCAAGGTAATATGTGTTAATTACCCACATCACACCCATCCATATTTTTTTTCCATGTTCATGTATGTATGTGGACATGGATACATACTGTATATATGTTCACATGTGTATATGGATATATCTACATGTTTGTACATACCCAAGGCAGTGATTATTTTACAAAAGTGATAACATCATATATAGTTTTCAGCTCTTTGCTATTCTCTCACAATACTTCCTAGTAGAGCATCCCTTGTCAACTAGTTATACTCTAATTCATTATTCCAAATGGCTGTGTAACATACAGAGTGTTCTATTTGTCTACCACTCTGAACAATATTGAATTAAACATGCTCATACAGACATCATGACACTCTGGTGGTTTACAGATAGAAGACAGATCTCTAGGAGTGGGACTATCAGATCAAAGGGTGCCATATTTTGATTTTTAATAAAGCACTAACAAATTGTTTTTTTTTTAAAGAAGACTGTTCACATTTCTACCTGCAACCTATTAAGGTATCCTTTTCCCTGCATCTCCCAGGGTTTAACATGTCTGCTAATGAGCTGCCCACAATAAGGCAAAAAACAGAGGTGATTTCACTTTTTCTCCCTTTGGTCCCCTTCTTGGCATCTTGGGGAGAGGAATCTAGGGCACCCAAGTCAGATGCTGGTCACCTCCCTGTGGGTTTGGAGACAGCCTTGAACTCAGAAGGAAAAAGAGGGTCAGAGTTAGCAATGAAGAGAAAGAAAGTAGGTTTTCATCAATACAGGCCCGGAATTGCCCTAATGATCCTCTGACAGCTTCTTAGTTATTGCCTCGCAGCACACGCCCGGAAAACCTTCAGACTACCTTTCCCGGACTCTCATGCCTGGTGGCTGCCCGTTAGGTTCTGCCAATGGGGGGCAGTGACTGGAGACTGGAGGGCGGGGGGAGGCTTCCAGTTTCAGGGTCCAGCTTCCGCTGGTATCTCTCCAGGGGCTGAGGATACCTCCATTCTAGACTCCATCTATTCCTGGCATCCCCGGCCCTAGGCAAGCCCTGCCCAGACCAGGCCCAGGTGCACCGTGCCTCCCTAAGCGGTCTGAGAACCACCTCCGCAGAGCCCCTCCTCTGAGCTCCTGCAGTTCAGATGTCACTTCCGGTCCCTTTCCCCTCTTTCTTACTCCAGCCCTGGGAATGCCTGGCAGGCAGCCTCAAAAAGCCCAGGCACACCAGCAACCCCTCCCCCACTCATTGGTTATCCACTGCCTATCTGTGCAATCCCCTTTTCCTCTTGAGTAACTCGCTGTTAACCACCAGGATATGGCAACACTACAGCTTGTGACTTCCACAATGACTACAACGGACTGGGACTTCACCTTGCCAGCAGACTTTTTCACGGGTTGGCTTTGATGAAGGAAGCCATCATGTTGGAGACCCCCAGCGTGTTTGTTTATTGCTGGAGGCACTAAACAGTCAGCAAGGCTCTCAGTTCAACAGCCCTCAAGGAGCTCAATCCTCCCAACAACCATGTGAACTCACAAGTGGATATTCTCCAAGCTGAGCTGTCAGATAAGCCCCCAGTCATGAGGGACACCTTGACTGCAGTCTTGCAGAGGGCCCAGCAAAGCCTGGATCCCTGACTCACAGAAACTGAGAGATGTGGCTCAGCTGGTAAAGAAGCCTGCGATGTGGGAGACCTGGGTTCGATCCCTGGGTTGGGAAGATCCCCTGGAGAGGGGAAAGGCTGCCCAGTCCAGTATTCTGGCCTGGAGAATCCCATGGACTGTAGTCCATGGGGTCACAGAGAATCAGACACGACTGAGTGACTTTCACTTTCATTTTAAACCATTAATTTGAGGGCAACTTCTGATGCAGCAACAGATAACTAACATAGGGTGGTAGCCACTGTCTGTATTTCTAGTGTTTACGTTATTTTGTTACCTCTCCGTGCCTTTGGTTTTCTGATTCCTGTATTACCAATTCTCCATATTGAATCAGTTTGAAATACCTGGCATAGTTTGTGTTTTCCTAACGAGACCCTAACTGGTACTTCTTCAGATTCAAATACCATGGTCTAACAGTTAAGGTTCTTTCCAATCTGACTGCAACCTATTTTTCCACTTTTTTCTCCTGGCCAGATGACACTGACATTCATCACAGTCAAACCAGTCTTCTCACGCCCATGAACTCGCCCTGTGATGTCTCACGCACATCCCCACAAGGCAATGGAGTGGGAGGGACTGAGCACCGGCCCTGGCACCAGGCCTGTGTTAATACCCTGGCTCTATC